AACTGTTAATCCATGCTTTAAGTGAATGTGCAGTCAGACAGCTTACCTTAGCTTGTTAGGCTTCCTGCAATTACCACATAAGGAGAGTATAGAAAGACCCAAAACCTCCCTTCTGCTGCCTCTTTGGATTGTCGTCTCCTCTCCATCATCTCCTGGCATTACTTCTCTGGTCTCAGTCTCTCACACAGAGACCCTGAAGGTCATAGAAATGACATCATAGAAGAAATAATCTTGAGCCAATTATTAATCTTGCCTAGAGTCAAAGCGACTGCCTTAACCAAGAATTTCCTTCTACCACACATTAGTTACAGAGTTGAGGAAGCATGAAAACAGGGTCAGTCAGAATACGGCAATAGGTGCTTTGGGTATCAGCTTCACAGGTTAACCAGAAATGAAGAACAACACCTGTGATACTTGGATCACATAACACTCTTCCTAAAACGTAATTCTGCATTTCTTTTCCTGATAAATACAGCCTAATGAACACAGTCTTTTCCCCCAATTAAGTAGTTTAATAAACACCAGAGTCCTGACACTTCTTGGATGTATGTGTACAGTTCAATGTCTCAGAATTTGGTCTTTACAACTTTACAACAGCTCGAGGGGTTATTCTAAGTAAATGGAGACATCCAGACTCTGAGAGATTAAGTAATTTGCTGTTGTCTTATTCTGGCAAACAGTGAAGCTGGACTCTCATGGTCTGGATCTCTCCAGCACTTGAGCCTTCTCCTTTGGTTAGGTGAACTATCACTTCTGGTGGCTCCATTCCACAGATATAAAGTGTGAGCATTTGCATGGGGCTTCCTTAAAGTGTGGCTTGAAGACTAGTCACATAAGAACACTTGCTAAATTGTACTCTAGACTCTAGCAGCTCACTTGACTCTAACCCTCCAGCAATGACCTCCCTTCGTTCCTTCATCCCCCCTTTCTCTCTCTCTCTCTCTCCCTCTCCCTTCCTTCGTTCCTTCATTCTTTCCTTCCTTCCTTTTTCTTTTTGGTTCTGGAAATCAAACATAGGGTTTTTGTGTGCTAGGCATGTACTCTACCATTGAGCTATGCCCCCAGCCTCTTAGTAGTAACGGTAATAAATAACTAACCACTGGTGAGAGTTTAATATTTTCCCTCATTTCCAAATACTTACTGGTTTGCTGAAAATCCAGACCACCACTAACAGAACTAACTAGTCATGGAATCATGGGACCATCTCAGAAATGTGTGGAGAACTCCACCATCTCCATCTGTGCCTAACAGAGAAAAAGGAAGAAGGCTGAGGAGACAGCACATCAAGAGGAGGAGCAAGGAAAGTCCTGTCAGTGAGCTGGGCATGGATGCATGTGTTTATAACCACAGCACTGGTGGTGGAGATGATGGACCCCAAGAGCTTGCTGACAGCCATTTTAACTAGAAATGGAGACTGTTTGGTTCTGTGAGACATCCTGTCTCAAGACAATAAGGAGGTGAGTAAGAGAGGAAGACACCTCATGTCCTGCTCTGGCCTCCACATGTGAGTGAATGGTGGGGGCACACTCATGTATGTGCACCATATCCATAGATACTCTCCCCTCTCAAATGCCTACCTGCCCATGGATGAGAACTCCCTCTTTGTGGCTCTCAGCTAAGCATCACTATCATACTTATTTACTTGGCTATCCACAACACAAAGTCTAGAGAGCCATGTGAAAACATCACACAGCTGGAGATGTGGCTGCTCCATGAATGGCTGAGCCCTTTCCTGACCCCTTGGAAGATTTAACAGCCCAGGCTTACAGGTCCAGTTGGGAGGCAGCAGCCCTGCTCCTCAGCCAGACCCTCTATTGTCATGAAGACCCTGGTGGTGGCCATCCAGCATAATGATACTCCAACTGTCTCACCTTTCAGGCAGGCACTCTCTCCTTTCATGCTGCAGAAGTATATGGCAATCTGCCCCTAGCCACTCTCACCCTCTTAGTTAAGACTCTCTGGTGTCTTCACCTGGATCATAACCAGTTGATAGAATCAAAGACCTTCCTCCAGGGCCACCAGTTGCAAATCTTTCTAGGGGTGAGGGCAGGACAGGGATCATGGGAGCTTTCCAGGTTAAGTTCTTTTATCACATGGAGGCGGGTGCCCTTGGATACAAGCCTCCCTAGCTAAGGCGGCCTTTCTTGGAGACTGTGTGCTCGTGGGCGTGCACACACACACACAACACACACAGACACACACACACACACACACACACACACACACACACACACACACACACACACACACACAC